CGCGCGAGACACCCCTGAAGGTGTACTGTAACCAAGAGGGTCACAATTGGTCTTTGTCTACTTGTATGAAAAATAGCCGGTTTGCTGTTACTGATTTTCAGGTATTCAACCCTAACATTTGCAAATCGTCGTCTTATTATAGTTAACATCGTGTAGTAAATCAATTTGTAAGTAGCTAGTCAATTTTTTCTCAATAATCTTCAGCGGTCAAATGGCCTAAATGTTAACGTCTACCGTGGAAAAGCAACATTTTGAATTGTTAAGTTTCATCGTCAAAAATAACCCGCCGTTATGATTCTCTCTTACCTAGTGCTGGCTTTATTTGTATCAGTTTTAAGTGCATTTGCTTGACACTAACTTTCATTTGATGGTCAGGGCGACACGTATGGGTTATTGACAACATAAGTGTGAGGTCAAGATGGCTGGATATTGGCCAAGTTCTTTTTTGCGTGTTTATGGACCGAGACGGAGTCGAGGTCCATAAACTCGCAAAAAATGAAAGAGGCCAATATCCAGCCATCTTNGGCAAGATGGCTCCATCTTGCCCGCTCGGGTAGCCAATCACAGCGCAGGATTTGATTCATCTTGCCGGATAACGACGCTAGCCATATAAAAATATGTATATTTATTTTTTATCCCTACAGACAGTAAATAGTTTCAAAATTTGAATTCTGGCACCTAACGTCGACCGGGTTTGATTCTCGGGGTGTGCAAACATAGTTCTTTGGGTTCTGTAAGTAAAATAAGTATAAGCATAAGAAAATTTTTTGTAATAAAATTAGCTCTGAATTCTCTTGTTGTAATAAGACATCATCGGAACAAAAATACGAGTATGGCCTATTATTAGTGAAAGAGGAAATTCAGTTTGATGGATGGAAACAAGTGCCGAGTGATAACCCTCCTGGGGGGGGGGGGNGGGAACTCCCATATAAAAAGGATGGGAGTGCTCGTCGGAAATTTTAAAAAGAACCCCAAAGCGGTACTAAGATCCTGTTTTGCGTGTGTGGCTTGAAATGTTTTTCACCCTAAGAGTACCAGTTCTACAACGACATATGATCTCCTGTCATATCTTTTCGGCTCAATACCCTAAAAGGTACCGAAAAAGCGCCCGCTGTGAACCTTTTAAGGCTGAACACCCTAAAAGGTACCAAACTGCTTTTTTACCCCTGGAAAGCAAGACGAGCACCCTAGTCCTTTTTTCGTTGGAATTTCCCCAGGAACAACTCGTAGCAAAAGAGCGGAAAATCATCTGTCTTAAAGAATTTGGTGGTCTCCCCAGTCTTCGCCATATCAAAAGTGTTGTAATTGTGGTCTTCTTTTTTTATTGAGGCAAAAATGATAATGATGATGATGATGATGACGATAACGATGATGATGATGTGTTATTTCAGTTAATCCTATGACCAGTCGCTTACTGCTAAAATTGCATGACCCAGTCCCTGCAAATAAAGTGTTCAGTTCTTAGCTCTCTTTTCTAGGGGGCTGTGGTCACATGATCCTTTCCATATTCATTACATACGACTCCTCCCGCTATGACCTCGTGGACCTGTGACTTAAATTCCTTCTCGTGCAGACGTTGTAACAGATCGCACGGAAATATTAATGTTGTGAGGATTAGGAGACCGACTTTGTTATCCAGGCGGAGTCATACTCATAAAAGACCTGCGTTAAATGAGTTAAAACAAAGGTGGATACAGGTAAGGCCACAAGGACATCTTTTAGTTTTCGAAAGGATCAGGGGAAATAACATAAGCTCGGGGAAATAACATTAGCTAAACAAGCACTTATATATGCCTTTGTATTAAAAATGCCCGTTCATTAAGTTCTTGTCTCAATCGGCCAGATGAATGTCGACTGATCGAACGATAACAACATCGAGGTTTGCGTCAAATACGCTTGGCAACTCCGGTAAGGATCGTATCGAATTGTATATTTCACCTCGGGGTCTTGAATGCATGTTGTTTACTATTGTATTTGTCATTTATATCATAGTTATGGCTACGGACAGAGGTGTGCGTATTTGCCAAGCAAAAATGTTAATGGAAGTGAACTTATTGGGCTTTGAAACAACCATTCATCAGATACAATAATTATACTAAAAAAATATTTACACATTGATCACGTCAGGCACAAAACGCTTCCTTTTAGTTAATTTTCCGCGTATGGAAATCCCGGGAGTAAGGGGGGAGGGGGGAGGGGGGGGACACTCCTATATGAAAAAGTCGGAGATGTTCTCGCTTAGGGGTACAAGTCAAGGATTCTGGTCTCACTTAGGGTGTTGATGACGAAACGTCACCATTCTTAGCTGTCAAAGTATCTTTTACGGTGCTGGCTCGAAGAAATATTTCCGTTCTCCGGCGGCGTCTCGAGTCCGATCCGGTCTACTAGCCCATGCCCCTTTCTTGAACAGTGACTGGTAATCGAGCCTATTCCGTTTTAAGGTGGTATCTTTTAGGGGTCAAATAAAGTTCGAAACACACCCGGATTGGTCTCCTTTAGGGGTTTAATTCAAAGCTTCCAACGAGCATCTCCGACCATTTCATAAGGGAGCCCACTTTCCCGGGATGGAAATTCTTTTTCACATGTGCCCCCCCCCCTCCCCCGCCCAGGACTGCGCTCGGCTACGCGCCAATTTCAGTGTTAATTACATATTTTGTCGGTGATGTATTTGAAAAGAACGGAGATCGGCTGCTTAAGTACTCTCTCACTTGGTTGTGGAACTTCCGGTTCCTAATTCCTGGCTTTCTCAGTAGCGATGTTTCCTTTAATTTGGTTTGAGTTGGTCTTGTCTTTCATAAAAATTCTTGCTAAAAATTTCGTATTGGGTGTTGTTTTCAAGCATATAGTGCAATATATTTTTCAATCTGGTTCTATTTTTCTTCTATTTATTTTGTGTCCCCAAATTGTGAGGGGGGAGGACAGGGGCGGGAACCCAGGGGAATAGGGAGCGAGAGGGGTACGAGAGGCGGGAGGGGAAAGGACGGGAAGTGATACAACAACAACAACAACAACTAGCTTTGTTTGCGTGACCGTAAATACATACAGTGTTGTAAAAGCTCTTGTCAACTAACACTAAAACAGTAATGATTCTTGTAATATAAGAGCTAGAGAGGGGGTGTGCGGGGGTGGGGGTAGAGTTAGAATACTTCCAGAAAAAAACACCAAAAAATTTGCATTTAGCGTCTTACCGTCTTCGATCTTCTAAGACTTCTCAGAAAACTCCCGCTTGGGCTAAAAACAGGCTTACTTAAATAAATAAATAAAACACTTTAATAGCTGACGCAATTACTGGTAACCCAGTAGTTTACATTGTGGGCTATAATGTAATTGAAATTGTAAACCCTTTTACAATGGCTATTTCATAGGCCAATAGGTCGATGAATGTAAGAAGATCGAGCAAGGCTGAGTACACGGATAGTTATATAAATATCTCACAACAATGTCTTTCAAGACCATTGAAAAAAAAAAAAAAAAAAAATTAAACGCCTAAGAAGTGTGCAGCTTAATGACTAGGACGTGTTTTGAGTCTCCTAATTTACAGGAGACGGAAGCAGGACAGAAAAGGGCGGGAGTCGGGAGATGAAAGTATGGGAAGCGGGAGATTCTGAACCCGTGTTCCCTCCAAATTAGTATGAGATTTCCCAGGCTATAAGGTATTGACACGTTAGTAAAGTTTTTTCGATGTATCTCTATTCTATGTATGAAATGTCATAAATCGGCCCTGTACAGGTTCGACAATCTGTTCTAGCTTATTATTTCAAGTTAGCTTATGAGGTCTTATGTGACACCTAGTCACAAAGTAGATAGGTTAAAGTGACCTTATGTCTACTGGAAAAGTTGGGAAAAGATTGCGTTAACTCTTTCAACGTTACTGTATCAATATAGGTCAATATAGAATTTAAGTTGGTTATTAAGCAATCTGCTCAGCACGAAGGATCCCGTGCTAAGCGATATCCGTTCGCGTGTTATAATGCCTGTTACATCGGCCAAACCAGCCGACATCTTTCAACGCGCATTTGTGAACATCTGAGTAGGGACATGAACGGACCCATTTTTCAACACCTACAACAATCTGAGACATTCCGCAAACTTTGTTCGAAGAAATGCTTTTCGATTCTAGATCAGAGTCTGCGCCCAATAATCTGCAGTTAATTTTAACGGAAACTGCTCACATCCGCTTGGAAAATCTCACTTCTAAAAAGCAACTCAACTCAAACTTTCTTACTGGTGCAATTTTCCGTGCAGGGGCGGCCGGAGGGGGAGGCGGGGTAATTTTATCAGCATTTCGCGTTACCCCAAACATACGCTTGGGCGGAAAATGTTTTCTTGTTTTTAAAAATCATATATTAAATCCTCTATCATGTTTTTAAGGCGGAATTGTTTGAATATCGTGGCAGTTCTACTTTTGTGGCCATTTCCTTTCAGCACGTCACCCGTTTCATTGTTATGAGGTGAAACTGGTAATGCATAATTTTGTGTTTAGTGCTAGTGCAGAAAGCCGAAGCAAGAATTCCGCAAACGTGTAGGTCAAAGGAATCCGTGTTGATCTAAGTTTTGGGTTTCATAACAAACACGAACGTGTCAAAATTATTTGAATTGCCTCTGGCAAATATCAATTCAAACACAATCGCACTTAACACTAATAAGGCTTGGTAGTTTGTACAAAGCGCAAGGGCGTTTTTAATCTTTAATCCTTCCACGGCAAGGGTGTTTTGCAGAACGCCGAACGCCGAACGCCGAACGCCAAATGTACTGTTTTCTTGCGGTTTAGTAGTTTCACTCCTGTTTGCTTGCGGTTAGCTTTTGCTTGCTAAGGATAGTATTGTATTGCGTATGGCCCTGTCCAAAAAATAAAAGCTAACCGCTAGCAAATATAAGTGAAACTAACCGCAAGCAAATAGAGCATTCGGCATTTGGCCTTCGGCGTTCGGCGTTCTGCAAATTACCCCTGCCGCTTTAAACACGGCAAAAATTCATCAGGAATTACAAGTACATTACAATTCATTTACTATATATACAAGTCAGGCGTTAGGAATTGGCGCGGTAACTAACTGTTTTGAGTATATATCGTCATACTTTTACAGTTATTAAGGGCCAACCACTGTTGCGTCAGTGTTCTAGGTCTACCGGATCGTTATTTAGGCTAACCGTAGTGATACCCATCTTCACCCCTGGGAGCACCATTTAGGCTAACGTCCCGAAATGTTATTTTGGCTAACCGGAGTGCTAGTCAGGTTTTCTAAACCAACAAAAACAGTCGCCTTACGCCGCTACTCGTTACGCCATTACCGTTTTACTATCAACCATACTGTAGTAAACTGCAGTATTTTTTCTACCAAAAATGTCACTGGACGCGTTCATAAAAGAGATCAGTTGACAAGAGAAAATCGAGACGAACCTTTCAATGAGCTACTCGAAAATTGTTTCGAAACAGCACTAACAGCACTATGAGCTTAATAATGATTGGATCAGCGATAAAGGAGTCTGATTGGTCGATTGTAGCTGTTGGTCCTCTTATTTGTGCCCCTCGTGAAATAACACAGTGTTGTCGCTTCATCATTCTGGCTTTTACTTCAAAGTTTAATTACTGCTCCTTTCAATAACATGCAGACTCTAAAATTCAAAGCTCAACCGACAAATGCGTTTTTCGCTACCGTCAATCAAATGTTCGGCGGCTTCTCCCAGCTTCCAACTACTGCCGAGCGATGTTTCATTGCCTGATCTGTGCTCAAAGATTTGATTACCACGCGCTCGGCAGTAATCGGAAGCTGGGAGGAGCCGCCGAACATTTGATTGACGGTAGCGAAAAACGGATTTGTCGGTTGAGCTCTGAATTTTAGAGTCCGCATGTTATTGAAAGGCGTAGTAAAGGGTGCAATTGGTACCTCTGCATTTAGTTGGGCTTTATGGAATCATTCAACAAAATTCTTATAAATCACCAGCACTCTTTCCAGTTGGCATATATTTGGGGAGCAGGGATGGCGCAGTGGTGAGAGCGTCGCGTCCTTCCAATGTGTCCCGGGTTCGATTCCCAGACCCGGCGTCATATGTGGGTTGAGTTTGTTGTTGATTCTCTACTCTGCTACGAGAGGTTTTTCTCCGGGTTCTCCGATTTTCCCCTCTCCTAAAAAACCAACATTTTCAGATTCCAATTCGATCCTGGAATGCACGAGGATTTCTGAACGAGTTCTTTAAACTCCTTGGTGCTCCGTGGGTAAACGAATAACATATTTACATATTTATTTTTTTTTATTTTTCTTTCCTATAGGAGCTTTTCCGGCGATGTTATAAGTAGCTTAGTCGTCGGCTTAACTCGAACGCAATCCTAAAGCTTTCCTAACAAGATCTCTTACGTGTTTTTTTAGAATGAAGACCTGTGAGGAAATGCTATTTGGAATCTCGATTGATGAGCAGGTTCTTTTCAAAGCGTCACTGGTTCTTCTATGTTTCTTGTCTCTGTTATTGATATTGATTTCGATTCTCATTGTCTGGCTTAGAAAAATACAACGACAAATAATTGGCCTGACCAAAAACACTTGCTCTCTCCCTCTGGTCATTTCCGCGGCAAATTTCGAGGAAACAAATTCCTGGAAAAATTTGGTGGGTTCTGCTGCGTACGGACCGTCGAGTTCCGATGGAGATGGACCTCGCTCAGATTTGCCGCAAGAAACTTCATTTGACAGTTCCTTGGCACCGGGGAACGATGAAAAACCTGTCCATGGTTCAAACACAAAAGAGGGATCCATTGCCAGTGATAAAAATAATGGAACAAATGTTCAAAACGTTGATGATAGTTTAGGAGCACATCACTCTACGAGTAATGATTCTGAACAGAATATTAAAGGTGGCAAACTGAAGAAGGATTACATGAGTTTAAAGTGTGCCAAAGATCATACGTACGCAAAACCCGATGCTGACTCCTCACGAGTGGAGTCCAAAATGGGATGTGACGAGCGACAAAATGGAAAGGCTTTGAACGAGGAAGAAAACGACGACTCCCATGAAGACAACCATGGATATCTTGTGGTTATCCATTCTGACAAATCATCTGCCTTATCAGAGGGAACTGAAAATGAGTCGCCTCCTCACGAAGACGAGTCTTCATACCTTATTCCCATTGAATCCAAGATGGAGGAGAACGGACATCACAAGATGGAGAGCAAAAATGAGACGGAGTCCGAAGGAAAGAGCAAGGTCAATGGTGTGTCAAAACTCGACGACCGCGTGTCGCCTCTTGATGATCTAGAGGAAGGTAAATATGGAAACCTCTCTAGCCAGCCGGTGGGCAAATTAACTACGTTTGGACATAATGCTGCGTTCCAACAAACACAGCCTGGGGTCTCAAAGGATGTCGATGAAGATGACTCTGGTTATCTCATTGTGCAACACGTGGAAGGTGGTGCTGCTGGAAAGGCAGGTACCAATATTCCAGTGGGCCAATTCCAAGCTGGAGGTACCTCAGAAAACGATGGGCCAGTGAACGCAAGTCATGGTGACGACAACAGCTATGAATACATACCAACGAAATACTGGAGTGAGCCAGTTGACAACTATGATTCCACCACTGGCATAGATAAGCCTGTTGCCAATTCGTCGGCCGAAGGTAACCATGAATATCTCACGGTTGTCCACGAAACGGAGGTGGACTCAAAAGAGCAAGAATACTCCACTGACCAGATCTACTCCGTTATACACGACAGCAACAATAATAACAACGCTGGTGTGCAGTCAGAAGTAATTTACGTCAACGAGAGCGTTGTCCAAAATCTTGGTGTTGAATGTTTAGATGATGTCCCAGTTTACGCAAACAACGAGGCACAACAACAATCTTCTATGTGTAACGACAACGCCGCCTTTTGCAAAGTCGACGAAAGTCCACTCTATGATAACCCGTGATATAACGAAAGTTTTCCTATACTAGCTGCAGTCTAACTGCGAGCCGCTATGAAAGTATTGCTAATGTGCTTGGAGAGAAGCATCTCTATTTCCAAAGCAATTAGTAAAAAATTGACGTATAATTTTAATTTGATTACGCACATTGTATCGTTCGCGAATGGTTAATATCGTTGCGTCCTTTTGTTGTTGAGACAATGGTGCAATTGAAATGATAATGCCTCTCAGTTTAAAGAGAGTCACAACTGGTCTTCGAACATATGTAGATCGTCATTTTATAGTTAACGTAAAGTGAATCAATTTGTAAATATATAGTTAATCCATTTGTTTGTTAATAATCTTCAGCGGCCAAATGGCCTAAGTGTTAACGTCTACCGTAGAAAAGCGATATTTTGAATTGTGCAATCGTCAAATATAACCCACCATTATGATTCTCTCTTTCCGGGTACTGGCTTTATCTGCTTTTTAAGCGCTCTTTTGTCCCATATCCGAAGATGGTTCATGTATAACATGGCCAGCTTGGTTAACGCTTTACTTTTAAGAACTGCCAAAGATCAATTGCAAAATTTTTAAACTGTCAACTATCGTGCAAAAAGGACTGCTAAGAACTTAACTGAAACAATGAATCTAGAGTAAAAGACGATATACGAGATAAGCTCGGAATAATTATGCTTTGGATCAGTTGAAAAAAAGTTCTCGGTTAAAAAGAGTTGACATACTGAGACAAGTGAAATGGTCCGGAGACTCACAAAACTGCCTGACCAGGCAGTGACAACTGAAGTGTCTTGGTGCAGCTGATATTCGTTAATCTGCAAAGTGAGAGTTCAAATAGAGTTATGTGAAGATAGATCTATGAATAGACAACGTTAGAGAGTAAGTTCCCTCGCACCCCTACATCTACTGCTATAGTTTTGGGTACACTACGAGTAGTCTCTCTTTCGCTTAGTCTGTCGAGCAAGATAGTAAATAAACCCCGAGGAAAAAGTGGCCGCGTGAAATCCTACTTTCGCGCTCTTCTTGACCCCAGGATTTCGCGCGGCCATTTTTGTTCTCGCGGTTTCCATTGGCATCACGCACGACGGTCTGAGCGAAAGAGGGACTACTTGTAGTCTAGATTTTGGGCTGTCAGCGTATAGTTTCCTGCTCTCATCTACGCTTAGTGCGTGGCATGAGAAAGATTTTTCCCTATGTCTGATCTATACGACCCAGTAAATTTCCTCAGATTAGCAATCTCAAATAAAGGATGCATGCAGCTAACCAACATGATCTTAGCAATTATTACGAATTTAGCGGTCGAGAACTGACAATATTTCGTAAAATTTGAGCAGACTGATATATTTCTTCCAGGATCGGTTTAAACGTAGAGGGATTCAGCACCACCGGCAGATGCAAATTATGTCCTTTGGCCCTCATTCTGATGACTACTTTTCACAAATATCACTAAAATCATTAAAAAGGCTATTAGGCTCAGTTTCCCTACACTAAACTACTCCGCACCAGAATCAACCAAGCTACACGGAAAACGAGGATATATTCCTGTTCGTGGAGGAAACAAACGCTTACGTGTCTCTCCAAACAGGCACCAAATGATTCTTATCCTCGGAGGCCAGTAATAAATACACTTGTACAAACATTGACATTGTATTGGATTTCTAATAGGATAGCACACAAGATGCAAGGCGTTCAGGCAAGACTAGCCACTGAAACACCCACCAGTGGCGGATTTAATTTTCTTTTTGAAGGAAAGGCATGTTACAGCACCGCGTTAAAGGAGCTATGTC